CAGCATCTAGTTCTAACTTATTTTTTTTTAAAGTAGGTCAAACACTAACTTCAAGGTCAAAAGTTTATAATTATACATATCCACTGAAAGGCCTTGTCACAATAAATAAACACGTGGGGAAAATAAGTCCTGGCTCCAAATGTTCATAAGTTACATCAAAGGTTGAAGTGTAGAATTATTTTGTGAATGTTGGTCAAAATCAAGATGGAGGTAAAGAGGTCCAATTTGGTGGTACAAAAGATGATCTTCTCACAAGGAATGCACCTTTGAAATATGAAGACCATAGCGACGCCCACTCATAAGTTGTGAGTAAGGTTACATTTCCGCGGACAAACAGACAGAAGGACGGACGTGGCAAAACTATATACATGTACCAGAAATTTTTGATATTTGCTAACTGTGTCGTTTTTTTTTGTTTTTTTTGTTTTTTTTTTTTTTGTTTTTTTTTTTTTTTTTTTTTTTTTTTTGTTTTTTTTTTTTTTTTGTTTTGTTTTGTTTTGTTTTTGTTTTGGTCTTATGTGGAGATATGGGAATATATTCAAGGCTCAAGTCCACATATAATAAATACAAACTAGGAGCAGAGCAAACTCCGATCTCCAAAACATCAGAGTTGGGATCAGGAGCCAGGGAGGAGTGAGCATCTCCTGCCGACTGGTTAAACCCGCCGTGCAATCCCTTTTTATAAGGATATAAAGTAAAAATCCGTCGTCAATTCAGTGTTTAGATAATGTACTAACAATTAGCATGAAAAACGACAGTCAGCATTTGACTCTATGATAAATTGAATTTGCTGACAAGGTCATAGCATCGACTATATATGTATATAGCATCAATTCCTCAAGGTATTGTATTCCCTTTTACCTCTCAGACATACTTAATGTCTTAATTTTTACTCATGACCAGAAAACCCTAGCATGCTCATATCTAGGGATGACCTAAAGGTGCTGATGAATATCACTTATAATGACATACATGGTATTGTAAAATCTCCCTTTGATTGCAAATGTTTTCATGTTCTTTTTAAATAAATGGCTGAGATCTATCGATTGAAAAGTACAGCTAAGTTTCGTCATCCATCAAGCATTTTTTTCATATTAAGTTTTCTATTTAGTGAAAACATCTGTTTTAAATAGACCATTGACACTTTTAACGCATTTTTTCTTTAAAGCGTTCATATGAAAATAGTTCACCTGTCTAAAGGAAACAATTTGACTGCTATGTATCAATTCTCCTTTTTTTTCCTTTTAAAATTTCCGAATGCATCTGAAAACTATACAGCGATAAAGATTTTCTTACATTTAATAATCATTATCTTTCATAAGAATTTTTCGCCAGATTGTTTAAACAGTTTTTCAAAGTTTTCACATATTTTCATTTCTTTGCAGAAATCATTTCTAAAAAGCTTTAAGCTCAGTGTAGTGGCCATGCTTATACTTACTGAATTTCTTTAAAAGAACAAGAGAGAAAATCATTAGGTTTACTGTGATAAGAATAATAGAACTTTTCAACCGTAAAAAATTCAAATGTGTCTACATTTATAATTTATCATATATCATTTACTGTACATGTACATGTTGCATTTCTTATTGAACGACCATCGAAACTTTTTTAAAGACACTTTTATTTTTGCCACTGACGCATAACATCTTGAACATTTCTTTCAAATTATTTTTTGACAAATAACAAAACTCTAACTTTTGTTAAGTACTGTAATAAATACAGTATTTCGAAAGTAAAGGGTATTCGTGATTCATTTTTCACCAATTTCATATTGATCTGGGGCGTCGTATTCAAAAACGAAAGTACTTTCAAGTGGTTTTTGGTCAGATTCTGGACGTTTATGGTAGCAGTATTGCTTGACATTAAGGTAAAGTAGTCGGTCATTTACAAATCTTTTTTTTTCAGTAAATGAAGAGAATATATTTGTTTTTAAATGTAGAAACAAAGAAAGAAAATGGAGTCACGATGTTTCTTTGTGTCATTGTCAGAACACGACTACAGTGTATCATTAAAATTCGATTATAAGGTGGTATGGAATACCAGACGAAACTTCTTCATAATATACGTGTACACATATATTTTGCCACATTTGTAGGATCTTTAATATTTCCATCTGCATTTGGTTAACCTATAATTTTTTTATTCATTATACCCCACGCAACTAGTTGCGGGAGGTATAATGTTTTTGACTGGTCCGTCAGTCCGTCAGTCAGTCAGTCAGTCAGTCAGTCCTCTTTTTTTTGTCAGCGCAACTCCTCATAAACCGCTGCACAGAATTTCGTCAAACTTTGCAGGTATTTAGGACACAATGTGTAGATATGCATATTACCAGGAAATTCCGATTCCATTATTTTTTCCGGGAATTTCCGCACTTTTAACTTAAGCATTTGGCCATACCTTGAATATAGAGATGAACAGTTTGTCAGCGCAACTCCTCATAAACCGCTGCACAGAATTTCGTCAAACTTTGCAGATATTTAGGACACAATGTGTAGATGTGCATATTACCAGGAAATTCCGATTCCATTATTTTTTCCGGGAATTTCCGCACTTTTAACTTAGGCATTTGGCCATACCTCAGTCAGTCCTCTTTTTTTTGTCAGCGCAACTCCTCATAAACCGCTGCACAGAATTTCGTCAAACTTTGCAGATATTTAGGACACAATATGTAGATACGCATATTACTAGAAAATTCCGATTCTACTATTTTTTCCGGGAATTTCCGCACTTTTAACTTAGGCATTTGGCCATACCTTGAATATAGAGATGAACAGTTTGTCAGCGCAACTCCTCATAAACCGCTGCACAGAATTTCGTCAAACTTTGCAGGCATTTAGAACACAATGTGTAGATGTGCATATTACCAGGAAATTCCGATTCCATTATTTTTTCCGGGAATTTCCGCACTTTTAACTTAGGCATTTGGCCATACCTTGAATATAGAGATGAACAGTTTGTCAAGCAACTCATTATAAACCGCTGCATAGAATTTCGTTAAACTTTGCAGATATTTAGGACACAATATGTAGAATGTAGATGTGCATATTACCAGGAAATTTTGATTCCTTTATTTTTCTGGGAATTTCCACACTTTCCAACTTAGACTTTTTGGCCATATTTTAGATATAGAGATGAACAGTTTGTCAGCACCACTCCTCTTAAACTGTTTTAAATAGTTTCGTCAACCTATGCTGATATTTAGAACATATTCCATTATTTTATCCCAAAGAGTTTTGACTATTATTAAAGAAAATTTCTCACCCCCCCCCCCCCCCCCCCCCCCCACCCCCACACACACTTCAAATTAATGTGTGGATTTGTATATTGTCAAGAAATTTTGATTCCATTATTTATCTAGAAACTTCATTTCACATTTAAATGTCCTCATATGCAAGACATTTTGATGAGAAGATTTTTTGCAATTATTGCCCTTTTTGATCTATACTATGTATTTAAAGTGCACTGTGCCTTTCATTATGTGTTTCACCGTCAAGTTATGGGGGAGCGTGGGGTATGTGAGCTAGCTCACTTTTTCTTTCATTTTTTAATTAAAATACATAAATGATTTCGTCTCTCATAAAATTTATTTATTGTGAAAAAGTTTAATATTAAAAGCAAGATTATACTCTTGCTTTTTATATTACTCTTTTCAAAATAAATCATATACTGTTTACAAAAACAAAAACGTTATCTGAAAAAAAAGAGAACATTCATTAGATACATTTTATATTAATTCTAAACAAAACATAAGCTTTAATACAATTTATAACCTGCAAAATTTCAGTACATGTATACGGACGGTTTCCTTGCTATTGAACAATTTCAGTGTATCCCATTAATCATTTTGATAACAAAGTGACGTACAAATTAAATATCTATGAGTGGAGAATAGCAGATGCAAAAAAATAAATGAAAAGATCCATCTGTTTTATTATCTAAGGATACGAGAGAAGAATATGTTAAATGTTAACTAATTCTATACACTACATCTACTCTTTCCGCTAACAAGATACATAATACCCAGGCATGTTTTCAAAATGGTGCATGTATTTTTACATAGCAATTTAATAAATTAATTAAAATGTTGCATTGTAAATATTGCTGCATCATACACATTACATGCATTTTTTTTATGTTATTTTCGAAGAGTTATGGATGGTCTGCTGAAGAATCGGGATAGGATACAGTTATCAGAATGGATCGGCAGGGCGTGTAATCTCGTTCTTTTGTACAAGGTCAGCAGAGATGGGGGTTCGGCGGAGAAGTTTCATAATCTGTGTGACAACAAGGGACCTACAGTTACTGTGTTCTATAACACGGATAACAATGTCTATGGCGGATATTTATCAGAAACGTGGGGTGGAACAGACCAATGGTGTATCGACCAAAAGGCGTTTCTCTTTAAATTATACAGTGTTGGAGAATGGAAGCCGAAAAAATTTTTCTCAAATGGAAAATCTAATAATTATTACAAGAGCACAAATTATGGACCATTATTTGCTAATTTGTGGTCATTTTATGGATCCCCTGAAAAGTCCTGTTGTGGTTATAAGATGGGCAGTACCAGTTTTTTTAGCGGTTCACACTTTCACATGGAAGGAGAAACATCTCAGTCAATTGCAAATGGACACAATGATGTCACTGAAATGGAAGTCTACTTCGTAAAAGGTTATAAGTTATATTTTTACTCCAGTGATTCTAATAATTTTTCCTGCATTTTTGTCCCCCGCTTGAAAAGTGGGGGATATTAATTTGGGGTTGTCCGTCCGTCCGTCCGTCCGTCTTTCTGTCTGTCTGTAACGCTTTCGTTTCCACACGATATCTAGAGAACCCTTTGAGCTTTTGCAATGAAATTTAGCAAAGCAACTCCCTGTGGCCTAAGGAAGACCCCTATTGATTTTGAGGTCAAAAGGTCAAAGGTCAAGGTTATATATATATGTTTATTCACCAATCAAGGGCCCACGGGGGGCATGAACAATTATTACAAAATGATAACATTGATTACAATTCTATATTAAGGATAATGTAACATGACTAGTGATTAAGTTTGACATTGAGAAGTGCATCACCACACTGGATCAAAAGCATAGAAACCATAGAATGATAAAAGAAAACACAATTAAATAAAAATGATAGATATAAGGTAAATAAATAAAAAAAAAATCTTGTAGTAATGGCAGTACTCTAATATAAAAATAGAGCATCTTGAATGCAAAGGGCACCAGGGGATGATACCTCTACACAGCCAGTCTGGCAAACCTGTACCCTAAGTATTGAAGATGGTCATTCAAAAAAAAAAAAATCATTTAAGTATTAACAGAAATAGTAATTTCAATTAATAAGTACTTAGCATATAATTAGAAACTTAATGCAAACTACTCTTTTGGAGTTAGTTCAATAGATATTTGACATATGCATACCCACATACACAAACACACACTTACTGTTACACAAATCCATGCATACAAAAATAATAATTTATATACAAATATATGTATGTATAGCATATATTATAAACATACACCTATTGTTACACATATCCATGCATACAAAAATAATAATTTACACACAAATATATGTATATATATAAACAGATGGTACTATCATGTATAAATGTAAATCTGTGATCTTGAAGGTAGCATACAATTAATGTAAAGAAAAGGTAACTTGGATACAGAGGGTACCAGGGGACGATGCCTATGCACAGACGATTATACTGGCAAGCCCGTACTCAAAGTATTCAAGACACCCCTTCTTACTTATTCTGTAAAAATTTACAAAAAAAAAAAAAAAAAAAAAATTCCATAGGTTTACTAATACTTTTCATACTTCAGCTCTCATAATCATTTTACTGACTTGAATCAGTATTTGCACATCCTCATTAGTCATGAGCCAATTTAACTTATTATCACTGTCCAAGTTGTGGAAATTCTTACAGGAATTGTTTATTAATTCATACAAGACTTTTCTTTCATCCTTAATGTGGTTACATGAAAAGAGAAAATGTTTCTCATCATCAACTGTTTTGTTATTGCATCTATTGCAGTGTCTTTCTTCTCTAGGAATGCCTATATATCGACCCCTTTCAATATTAAGTCTGTGAGCTGATATGCGAAAACGAGTAAAACTTCTCCTCTGCTCAAAATTCTTAATTAAATTAAGATACTTTTCTTGACCAAAATTTTGTTTAAAAGTGCTATAGCATCTCAGCTTTTTATCAGAGTGTGATTTAAGTTGAGAATTCCATTCTTGTATATAATATCTAAATAAACAATCTTTAAGTTCACGTTTGAATTTGTGCATTTTGACTGAAGTTAAATCACGAATACCCTCGATATTGGTAATAAGAAAATTAATGGAGCTGTACCAAGAAGGGAGTTTTTTCTCAAACAATGATTTGGATTCACAATATGCATCTTTTAAAATTGGGAAAGAATGGCCTAGATTTTCAAGCCTATACCAGTACCTTATCATTGATCTTACAATGTCAAAGTGCAGGGGAAATCTACCTAAATCTGACAATACAGCAAAATTAGTTGCAGTTTTATGCACACCTAGTACTGATTTACAAAATTTCAAGTGGAGTTTTTCACAGAATAAGTTGGAGTATATTTTATCAATAGTACAATTGGGTATGCTATTTTTTTTTGTAAATGGATTAAAACAACCCCAAACTTCAGATGCATACAATAAAATAGGTTTAATTGTATGGTCAAAAATATGAATAGTGGTTTTAACCTCAGGATTCAGGGAAATGAAATTTTTCCTGAGTTTAAAAAATGATTTTAATGCTTTTTGATAAAGCTGCTTTTGAGCAAAGGAGAAATAACCCGAAGAACAAAATGTCACACCTAGATATTTGTATTCAGACACACATTCCAGTTCGACATCATCGAGGTAAAATTTTGTTTTGGAGAGTCTACCTGCTTTGTTAAAAACAACTATCTTTGTTTTAGATGTATTTACACAGAGACACCAATCGTTACAGTATTGCTGTAGAATATTAAGTTCTTGTTGTAAACCTTCCGCTGTGGAGGAGAGTAGAATTATGTCATCAGCATACATCAAACATTTAACTGAATTTGAATTTAAGTAAACAGGGTCAGTAGCTGAGTTCAGGTAATCTGGAAGATCATTAATAAAAATTTTAAATAAATTGGGACTGAGATTGTCACCTTGCTTCACTCCCAAAGTTATTGGGAAAAAGTTAGTAATCTTATTATCGACTCTGACACAGGATTTACTTGATGTATACATACTTTTCACTACTTCATAAAAATTTGTTCCTACCCCTATTTTGAGGAGTTTAATTTTGATTCCTGTGTGTATAACAGTATCAAAGGCTTTTTGAAAATCAACAAAGCAGGCATATACTCTACCATCTATAAATTAGCAAATTCTGTCTGTTATAACACTTTCGTTTCCACACGATATCTCTAGAACCATTTGAGCTATTGCAATGAAATTTTACATAACAACTCCCTGTGGCCTAAAGAAGACCCATATTGATTTTGAGGTCAAAAGGTCAAAGTTCAAGGTCGTATTTATACATTCTGTCTGTGTGTAATACTATCATTTCCGGGCGATGTTTCAAGAAGATTCTTGAGCTTACGTAAATGTAATCTTATACCAAAACTCCCTAGGACCTCTCTCACCCCTCTCAAAGTGCCCTGCCCCGTTTGTTTTATTAATAATCATAGTATTACATATCGCTATTTTTAGCACAGGGGCATGAGGAGAGTTATTGCATATAAAACATGTTCTCGGCGGACGTTATGTTCTTATCACATCTATTAGAACTGTTTAATAAAGGCTATATAAAACAAACAGCGTGGATTGTGTAAAATTTGATATTACCGAACATGAATATATACCTGTATGTGACTTCATGATTGCTTATAATTCGCTTCTCTACAGAGCGGCGCCGTGGTCTAGTGGTATGTCTCTCGCTTCACATGTGAGAGGTCCCGGGTTCGATTCCCAGACGATTCATTATATTTTTTTTCCCGAAATACTTTTTTTTAACTAAATGATAGTATTCAGCATGTGAAATGAAAAATTTATGAGGTGTGGCTTGTACAAACTCATAAGATCATTACAGTGTGTTAATAAATATTCCATATAAAAAGAATCTTCTATACACATAATAAAGAATAAGCAATCAAATCTTTATATCCATATTGCCATATTTTATTTGCTTCAGTATACATGTATAGATTTAATTATTCTAAAAATTCAGTCAGGGGGATACGACTCCCCCCCCCCCTCCCCGAACTCTGCATTGTTTACTTTTTCCCTAAGTGGGGAACACAAATTCTCTGAATTAGCTTGTCTTAAATGTAACCAGCTGACTGATAAAACGTTGATTCACTAATGTTTAATTAATTATAATTTCATAATGCTTAAAAATACTTACAAGAACATTATTTCTTATGTCTAAAGATGGTCCTTTAGCTTTGGAACACGCCACTTTGTGGAGGGAACAACCACAATGGAACTTGCAGGTAGGGTTTTTATTTAAAAATTACTTATAAAATTTTTTTGGGTCGTTTGCTTTTTTTCAATAACCTGTGAATGTGTGTAATCATTTTCCTCATCAGCAATATTTTTTCTCATTAAGTTTGTGTTTTTCTATAACCTTGAACTTTATGTATATATTTCTTTATCTGATATAATCACTTTATCATTTTACTGTATGATAATGTTTTATTTTGTTCCAAAAGGCAAAGATTTAGACATGTGTACAGAACATTATTTTAAAAATCTTGAATATAATACAGAATCATACTTAATATCTTTAATTTTGTCTTTTTAGTTAGCATAATTTTCACAAATTCGAGACTTAAAGATGTGATAGTAGTTTTAGATGCTTAACAATTAAGGGCATGATAAACTTTTAAAGTATCTAAAAATATCTTAATATTTTTTTAAAAATCTTACAACTCTCTTTGTGACCTCAGAGTCTACACTTTTATATCTTCATTCTTTTTTAGCTCACCTGAGCCTAAGGCTTTTCTGATCAAAATTTGTCCGTTGTCTGTCGTTGTCGTAAACTTTTCACATTTTCAACTTCTTCTCAAGAACTAATGGGCCAATTTCAACCAAACTTGCCACAAAGTATCCTGAGGTGAAGGGAATTCACATTTGTTCAAATGAAAGGCCACGCTTTCTTCAAAGGGGAGATAATTATGAATTAGAGAAAAATTAATGGCATTTTTAAAAAATCTTCTTCTTAAGAACCAATGGGCCAGGAAAAATGAAACTCGTGGAATCATCCTCAGGTAGTGTAGATTCAAGTTTGTTCAAATCATGACCCATAGGGGTAGGGTGGAGCCAAAATGGCCGATCAAAGTTTTACATAGGATTATATAGGGAAACCATTTAAAATCTTCTTCTCAAGTACTTCAAAGCCATGATTAGTAATATTTATATGGAATCATCCTCAGGTAATGTAGATTCTAGTTCGTTCAAATCATGATACCCTGGGGTGTTAAAATTCAAGCCACCTCACCTCATAACCTTAGTAAACTTCTTGTCCCCGGGTAGGCACCATTGTTTCAACAAATCTGAATGTGAGCTAAATGATGCATATTTCTCACACGTTCATTATATCCCGTAAGATAATTATTCTCTCTGTCTTTCTCTGTCTTTCTCTCTCTCTCTCTCTCTCTCTCTCTCTCTCTCTCTGTGTGTGTGTGTGTGTGTGTGTGGGTGTGTGTGTGTGTGTGTGAGGGTGTGTGTGTGTTGTAAAAAATGCTTTATTTTCCACTTTTTAGACTTTTCAAGAATTGAAAGAGTACATAACAAAATACGAACCATTTGAGGAATCCGAGGTCCCTGAAGCAAACATCTTATTGATTGGACAAGTCGGGGCTGGCAAATCTAGTTTCCTTAATACCATCAACTCAATCTTCAAGGGAGCGATATCATCTCGAGCATGCACAGGGAGCGCTGAAAACAGCTTAAAGCTGACATGAATTCTTAAAAACGCAACATTTTCCTCTATGTACGACTTGTTTCATACCAACTATAGCCGTATTCCGCCATATTTCTTTCAGATACCTTGTCTCATTGAAACGATGTATACCCCAATGCGCTCGTTACACTTGAATGATTTTTTGGATTGGGTATCGACTTGTGCACATCTCCGATGGTATAGCATATGAGAACACATGAGGTGATCAAGACATTTCAAAAACAAAATAAACAACATAATAATCATATTTTTGAATAATTATTGATTTGAATCAAAAGAAAAAAATGCAAGTTTGGAAGAGAAATTTAGATGCATGAGTACGTATTTTTACAGTGCGCCAATTTATGCAGAATAAACTTGAAATAAAAGCAGTAAAATTTGCAAACACATTCTGAAATTATATCATTTGAATGGAACAAAACAACCAACGTCTTTGATTTGCAGGTCTTATGCAATTGATGCATATCGAGAAAACGCCTCGAACGCTGTAAACGTACCCATACCTGGTAATAAGGTTACTGCATCGGTTCGAAGATGTGCACAAGTCAAGTGAAATACACCCTGAATTCCATTTATTGAAATATGCATCACAAAAAAGAAATAAACTCCATAAAACTCAATAGTAAACACACTGTCATTACTCCGTATACACTAGCACGACGATACACTTAGTCCGTGCTGATCAGATTTTGGTCAGGGAAAATATCAAAAGTGGAAAGAGAGGTTATTTGGTATTTGCGCGGCTGAAAGGGGGGGGGGATATTATAACTGATGTTCATAAGCTATAACTGTGAATTGTTTATCTACATGTAGTTCTAATATACATTCTATACAAAGTCATGTATATAGTCTGCAGTTGGTTTGCGTCGCAAAATTCATTTGTCAATTATAACTGATTATTTTAGTACTAATCTCAAATCTAAACAAAGTAATTTGATGTACGGCTATAATTTACTTCAAATCTTAAAAGCAATTAACCAGAATACAAATTTTTATGTGTACATCTATACATTCTTTAACACAACACATACACACACGGAGAAAGGTCATCCCCTGTTCAGATTGACATTTAGGCATTTGATTTTTTGGACGGGGGGGGGGGGGGGGGGGGGCATACAAAAATAATTGACATGACCGTTATTGAAATATTCTTGGAAGACAGACATAAGACATTTCTGCCGAATTCAGTTTTGAATTTTTTTAAAATGTGTCACTCAGACCATAAAGTATGTGCATTTAGAGGAATGTAATTGTTTTATGATTATGTTGTTACAGGAAGTATTTCGATATTTCAGTATCCCCGCCTGATAGTCTAGGTATTTTTATGTATATATGTATATATATATATATATATATATATATATATATATATATATATATATATATATATATATATATATATATATATATATATATATATATATATATATATAATTTTTGTAGGTGAATTTGGGACATAATTTTAAAAGCTAGGGTAGGGATACTTGTCACTGGTTGAATACGGATAATTATTATTTATTCTTTTGTAGATTGAATTCTCTCTCTCTCACTCTCTCTCTCTCCCTCTCTCTCTGTTACCACCCGTTGGGGCAATGATAGGTATAAAATCCTACGCATTTTGTGCTGTTGTACCATTTATTATGCCTTAGGACAGATCGAGGATTTTTTTTCAGGCGGGATGTCGAAACTTCATAACTTGAATAATAATTTTACTTTGGACAGGAAATTAACCCAAACGCCCAACTTGAAAGAGAAACTAGACGTACATGTATTATGAGCAATGAACTCACTAAATGATACCCCCTGCCTCCCATATGGTTATAATGGCAAAGTCCATATTTCGCTAAACCCATACGTGTCATATCAAAAGGTAAGAAATAGGAGGTGCATAATGGTAATATGTAATAAACTTAAGATTCTTTGAAAGTTTCATTAAATTTCTCTAAGAGGTGTAAGAGGATTTGCGGATAAGAGATGGGTACCCCAAAGCGTAATTGACAGACGAACTGACATAACGATTACCTCCCACTAGGCGGGCGATATACTAAACGTGAAATATAAATCAGAGGAATGGGAACATTGGAAACTTTCTCGACTACCTTCTTAAACGTATGTGTCAAACTTGCAGGGGCGTAGTATCCGGGGGGGGGGGGGGGGGCGGGGGGCCCGCCCCCCCCCCCCCCCCACTTTTTTTCCCAACCTAACTTACACTATAGGAAATGTTAATTGAAAGCCTGGTTGCCCCCCCCCCCCACTTTTAGAAATGTACCGAAAATGTAGTATAAGAATTTAAGAATTGGTACTAAAAGTAGTTGACACTGAGAAAAAGTTAACCTCCCCCCCCCCCCCCCCCCCCCCCCACGAAATAGGATTTCCGACTTTGGGCAACTTCCCCCCCCCTTTTTTTTTGCTTGTCAACTTGTTCAGGTAAGTAAAAAAAAATTTTCTCTGCCTGGCCCCCCCCACTTTCTAAAACGATGCTACGCCACTGACTTGGACAACAGACAAGAGAATTTTTAAAAAGCTAGTTTTAGGTAGGATGTGGAATTCTCACGAGGAGTTTACTCTCTCTTCCTATATGCTTTTTCTAATAATCATTCATTATTTATGTCTAGAAATTTAATTCACATCAAATTCTATTTTCATTATCATTGTACCAAAGAATCAAACTCGTTTATTATACCCCACGCGTGAGGTATAATGTTTTTGACCCGTCATTTATTCTTTTTTTTTTTTTGGTCAGCGCAACTTCTCATAAACCACTGCACAGAGTTTTGTCGAACTCTGCAGATATTTATATGAGACAATGTGTGTGTAGATTTTCACATCACCAGAAAATTCCGAATTCTTTATTTTTTCGGGAATTTCCGCACTTTTACATTTAGATTTTTGGCCATATCTTGAATATAGAGATGAGCAGTTTGTCAGCGCAATTCCTCATAAACCGCTGCACACAATTTCGTCAAACTTTGCAGATATTTAGGACACAATGTGTATAAATAAGCATATTACAAGGAAATTACGATTCCTTTATTTTTTTCTGGGAATTTCAGCACTCCTACTTTTGGGGGAGTGTGGGGTATGTGAACTTGCTCACTTTTTCTTTCATTGTGCATAAAATTATAAATAGTTTTAAATCAAATTATATCAGGTCTAATAAAGCCAATACACAATATTTATTTGATAATAATTGATCATATAGAAATCCAATCTGTTTCAGACGTTTTTCTTACATCATTTTTATGAGAATGTTAATATGCATGTTTTACTACCCCCCCTCCCTATCACAGGAAAATATCTTCAAAAGGTGAATGATTCGCAATAATGCATGCTTTATTATAAATTTAATGAAGATAAACCATGTAATAATAAATTTTATTTACAACATTTACAGACAAGAGTTATGTATATTTTTGAAAAAAAAATTTCAACCAACCCCACTGAGCTTTCAACCTTTGATATTTTCCCTGATCAAATTAAATGATCGGCATGGGCCACGTGTGTCCAAGCATCTTTTACTGTTGAGTTAGCAATGGATTACATGACTTCTGAGATGCATTTTTCAATAAAAGTGAAATAAGATAAGTCTTTCGACATGTGCACATCCCAGTAACGATAGCAGTATTTAGGTAAATGTTTTATCACTGCGTTTGACGCGTTTTCTCGACCTGCATGGGTTTTTGCTGTACATGAATGTATTCTGTGTTAGTGTACTTTTTATATTGCAGCAAATGCATTCAAAAATAATTTAATTCTCCGTATAGTTCTATTTTTTGTTGAATTTTTACTTTTCAAACATGTATTTGGTCAGTTTATGGACTTCTAAAAACTATGCTATTGGAGATGTGTACATGTCGACAGCCAGACTAGAAAATCACTCAAGTGAAACAATTCTACAAGGCTATATATAGCAGGTACAGGTGACCAAAAATGTTCGATTAAAAATGGCGGAATCGAAGAAATATGGCGGACAAAGGCGTACAGGAATGTAGTAAGTCGTACAAAGATGAAAAATGATGGCTTTTTAAGAGTTCATGTCAGCTTTAACTAAAAGTGTAAGACAATGAACTTAATAATAAAATATAAAAAATATATATATCCTGATATCTTTTAATTAAATTTGTATATATTACTGATTGGATAAAAGCTTATCACATGACGCCCTGAAATTTTCCGTATAACGTCTCCGTCAAGGAGTATTATGAAAATCGTGCGCGCGATTACGTCCAAAGCGTTACTTTTGTAAATAAAGATGGAGGCTAAGAAACGGTTTACGTAGGTAGTTCAGTTAAATTTCTTGTTACCGTAACAATATTTCATGTTGATTGTTAATGGATTAAAACTTAATATTTTCATAATATGCTCAAATTTTTTTTTATACATGTATTGAAAAAGGTCTTCAGCGGGATAAATTCGTAACACAGTCTGTTAGTGACCTAATACGGATTCATACATAATTTTCATTCACACCCTGTATGAATCCGCATTAGGTCACTAACTGACTTTGAAATTAATAGTATTGACATCCATTACATATGTACACTGTTGCTAGTACTTCAACTGAGCTCCGTGCTAATTCTTTGAAATAATCAAATATAATGAACGACAGACTGAATACAAGTAGCAGTCTGTATTAACCTATTTCAAAATATGAATGATAATATTTTTAGACGCAATTTGTCGTTAATCATTTCTGGTTTACTATCATAACAAAAATTGCACTAAAAAAGATTGTAACACGTTTTTGTGTATTTGCACTCTTCGGCGGAGATGCATCATTCTGAAGTTAAAAATAAACATAGAAGCTGGGCGCTAGGGAGACCTTTTAACCTGTACGATTCCCAGAACATGCGATTCATTACAATGCTGCTGTTTACTTGTTTATTGGAAGATGTATTTGGTTAGGAGGAAGAAGCAACCAATAAGATTGGAGTGACCAGAGTTCAGGTGTTTGGATAATTTAACTACGGAAAACAATATTTAAAGATTATGCAAAAGATTGGAAATTATTTTAAAAGTGCATTAGAAGTTTAGAAAGTACTCAAGGTCAGAATAATAGTAATTGAATTTCAAATTGAAATTTAAAGTGAATTTTTCATTTGTATGGGGACGCCATAGCTTTCCAGTGGCGGACAGCTAATTTATACCTAGTATGCTAAGCACTCAGGGCCATTGAGTAGTGAAGAATTCTTTTAGTGCCACACCAACTATGATACGGCACCTTGCAGTTTATACTGTCTCATATGCATCCGAAATACCTTTCTCTACATCTACATCCCGCAATGGATTGGGGACCCGACGTAATGATCAGCTTCTTCCGCCACATTAGATATTAGACATTAGAAGTAAATTGAAGTGTTGCAGACGTTAATCATCGTTGTGGGCTCAGCTTATGTCAAACATAATAATTATTATTTAACATGAGTCACGAAAAATTGACATATAGAAAAAAAATGGTCGGACAAAAATAACACGAATTCCTTGTGTACAACCCACTGAGATGGTCTAAAAGTCTCACAATTATTTTCATAATGTGTCTTATCTCTATTCCTTGATGTCAAACTGTTGGCATGATTGAGCATTACGCCCTCTACCAAAATTGCGAAACTCATGCCCCCAAAGTCAGAAGTTCTGGATAAGAATTCATTTTTTAATACATAGAAGATGCATACAGTTTTTTGGAAAAGGCTATATTTCTCGTGTATATTCTGATATTGGTCTTAATGAGTAAGGATGTCTTTTTCAACGCTGTAAATTCCTTTGTCAAAGGTTTTTATGTTAGATAGTGTTCCTTTGATTTTATAGTTACAATATGTAAAATGAATCAATCCTTTGAAAATCTTGAAAATCTTCTACTAGCAAACAAAAATCTTCATCAAGCAAACAAAGTACATGGTTATAATGAGCAAAGGTGCTTCTTCCATGAACTCTCTGGTCACTGTATCAGGGATCTTGTGTTACACAAGTTCTATTATTTTTTTTACATGTAGCCTAAGGGAAAATACACATTTCTTGAAAATCATATTATTTATTTCTGTGCATATAGGGGACAGAATACGAAATTGGTTTGATCAAAGTCGTTTTACTAGATCTGTTTTTTATTTTACCACAGTATCAAGGGGTATAGTGCGCCGCAAAGTTCTATTGATCATGTAGGAGAAATTCTTTTTTTCATCATTTTCCTCAATTTATTTCTACAGTTTAGATTGTTATAATCAAAAGCTGTACATCCATATTAGTTTGCTCTCTACTTTTTTGTTTATAAAAGCTGTTTATTTGTTCCTCAGTCGTCCGCCCCCTACCCTGAGGAATAAAAAAGTGATTTAAAAAAATGTTGAAACTTCACTACATGCAGCATCAGTTTTCCAATTGCAATCTTTGCTTTTCTGTATGTCCCGAGACCATGAATCAATATTTAAAAAAAGTTCGCTATCTGGCAAAGTTTGATAATAAAATTAATAATTGTGGTATTTCTTATCATGAAAACAAAAATGGTATCTAAAAACTTTATTCTCAAAAAAAAACATTTATTATTTTTACAGTTTGAAAAACTCCGAATCCGTGATCCGGCAGCAAAGAAACATTTGAAGTTCAGGATTTGTGACACACGAGGAATAGAAAAAGCTCTTTCTATCAAAGAAGAAGATCTTCGATTTATTATGGATGGAAATCTGCCTAATCATTACATTGTATGACCGTTTGGTTTCTTTTTCCCTCAAAATTAATATCAAACACTGGCTTGTAACGATTGTTTCGAAAGTGAAACGATTATTATACAACACTGACATATCAAATTGCATTTTTACCTCAACTATGCTGAAAGCTTGAGAAAGTTTAACCACTCACAATTTATCGAATATCAGCCTTTTCGTCCGTCTGTCTGCAAATTGTTACTTTTCTCAGTACCCATTTTGCTCATTCATTTAAATTTGCCACAAAGCATTGTAAAGTATACTAATAATTTTTATATAGAACTACAGTTAGACACTTGAGAATTTGTGAAAACTAAATGTTATCTTTAAAATTGATTCACACTTCACAACAGGTTATACAATTGGATTGATATTTTAGTTGCAATTTAGCTAAAAAGTCATTTTATTGGCTATTATACAGGGGTAGGAAAAAAATATTTCCTGTCCTGCTTTGAAATTACATGCTGACTTGAACAGCTGGTTGTATTTATCAATTGTAATAAAATCAAGGAAGATGATCCAAGCTTTAATCAAATTAAATCGAAAAATAACATTTTAAGTTATGTTTACATAAGTAAAATAAATAAGTTTAACTATATATTTCTAAATTATTCATTAGAAGTTTCACATGCATTCATAGGATTATCAAAAAAAAATTAAATATGTATTGATTTTTATTGGTGGTTGCAGAATGGTGAAATTTTAAACATCACAAGAAGCTAAACAAGAAGCTAACAATTTCTTGATACTTTAGAAATTCATTGTGTGCATCATTTACAGTCACAATAGGATCCAAAAGAACTATCCAGACATCCATTTCTTGTTCATATTATATGTACTTTAACAATTTATAGCAGCATCATTTAGTTTCATTTAATTTACCTCTGGCACAGGGGATGTCTCTTTCTCCTACGCATCTGATTCCATCTCTGGATTTCCAGGTGGTCTGTGTTTTAACCCTATCAGCATATTTGCAATCGTTTGAAGATTTTATGAGATTGATTACTGTTTGCTATCTTCAACATCTTGTTTATTTTATTGTATTTCATTCATATTGTATTGTATTTGTATTATAGATTTAAAACCAAATTGCAAAATAATAACTTGATGTATTGAACAGACATTGATGTAATATATACATTTATTTTTAGTTCAATCCAGTTGATTCTGCGTCCGCAAAAGTTCCAGGTTTTGTCAAAGATCCAACATTGAAAGAGCGAATGCATGTTGTTGTGTTTGTTATTGACGGAAGCACATTAGATGTTCTACCGGAAGACACGCTTAAAAAACTCAAGGACTTCAAAACGATGGTAGTTGACAGGGGTATGTGGACTTTCTTTAAAAGTTAAATTATTATATATAACATATTGCTCTATAAGGATATTCTCTTTTATATAATTATCACTTGTTAATAAGGGACCGTTTTTTTATTTATTAATGATGCATTCAAGAAAAAAAAGATATTTTTCTAAATGAACTGTTTGTGAGGCAATCTATGTTTTATAACATGTATTTTTTTTTCTTTGTGATTACATTCTATTACTTACAATTTGAATATCATAGGTATACCTCAGTTAGTTTTACTTACCAAAATGGACAAGGTATGTGAATTTGTCGAAAAGGATATCAGTAATATGTTTGTGAGCGAAGGTGTAGAGGGCCTGGTGACCAAAGCTGCTGACGTCATCGGAATCCCAAGATCCCACGTACTTCCGGTGAAGAATTACGAAAAAGAAACACTTCTTAACATAAATGTAAACATCCTGGCTCTAGGAGCATTACGCCAGGCACTCTTGTTCGCTGATGACTTTCTGGAGAACCAATTTGAAATTGAACAAGAAAATTCACGGCGTTGAATTAAAGAAGCACTGATTCATAAACTAGATTTCGAACATGTTCAGCATGCATTTTTTAAGAAAAAGACAAAAACGAAAGTGATGTGATGTGATGTTACATGTATTCTTTGCACGTATTCCCAGCATTTACATCTATTATTCAAACTCATCTTTAATCAACAAGTAACCAAATTGTCATTTGTTTTTAAGGAATATTGCATGAGCTGTTGAAATCAATATAATATGAGAGATCCCTCCCCTTACAATGTTAAAGTCCAATTTTTAAGATAAAACTGATAATTTTTGATCGAATGACGATATTCTTCTGAGGCCGTTCTGGTCAGCGTTCTTGTTTTTTTTTTTGTTTTGACCAGTAGTTTCTTTGGATGACCGATATCTATCATTTTCTTTTCAGGGTTTTTTACAGCAATTTAAATAGTATGAATTTTTATTGAAGAAACATCCGATATTTATGTACATGTGTAAGAACAAGTTTTTTCCTCATGGATTTAAGGTAAATATATATGTATGAGACAAAAATATTGAATTAGACATTGCCGTTTAATCAGACTTTTGCGAAGACACTGACTTTTACAGTTGACGGCTTACTTGGACATTTAAACCTGCGTCATGTACGGAGGTACAGAATTGAAAATGGATAGGAAAACATATACTGAGATAAAAGTCATTGTATTCGGGGCTTTGAAATGATTTATCAAAAAAATTATTTAGAGACTTTATTCACAAGAATTAATATATCCTTTTATTTTCAATAACTTAAAAAATGAAATAAAGAAGCCACATTTCGTAGGAAAGTTTGGCAGGAATTAGTCAAGACTGGAATGGAGGTTGTTGAGGGTAGGAATGTTGCAGTTTCCCAACTAGACAACGAAATATGATTTTTGAAATAACCCGTTATTATCGTTTTCTTAAATGTTAAGATCAATATTTTTTCACACAAGTTTCCTGGTGTAAAAGTAAGCCGTCAACTGTAAAAGTCAATGTCTTCCCAAAGTCCATTATGAAATCAAAACTTATTGATTTGAAAAACATTTAAAAATCTTTTTCTGTTTTAGTATTAGTTATAATTGCTTGTTTTGTGTATCTTTGAGAAATAAGAACTGTTTGTCTGACCGATTTTCTACTAAAAAACAAAGGATTCAACACCTGGGGTTTCAATAAACTCTCGGTAAGATTAGCAGAATATCAAAGCTTGTTATAGGTGTATTTGGGTATTAGTTTTATACATCACCGAACAATGCTGGTAAACAATGATATAATTTCAATTTTTGTAATGCAGGTATCGTTCTTAAATACATAAAGTATGAAATTTGATTCTAAATGTTTTAATTTTGAACGTAAATTGAAGTATTTACTAGGGTGATTTATACGTGGAAATTTATACAAGAAAACACTGAATTAGAATACATGTCATTGTTTTTTTTTTTTCAATAAAGATTCAAACATCAGATAAAGAAGCAAGTCTGTGAAGAAAAATCATTTACAAAATATACATTTTGCAAATAAATTCACCATTGGTAAATATGCTTTCAAATTAATATTGGAATCGGCTTTTCTCTTTAATTGTGAGATTTAATTTTAACTGATTCTCAGGGACAAAAAAGACAACTTTTATTTCCCATCAATGTATATACGGAAACAAATATTAATCTGAAGAAATCAAATGAACAAATCGATTAAATGTCGTGTAAAATTAGTGTTCTAAATATATAAATATCATTGTTATTATAACCAAATGTCAGTCTTTGAATAGTTTTAATATCCAAAGAACTAAAATGATTTTAAACTACTACATGTACCGCCCTTTGACAAAACCGGGTTTAATGACCTATCTTTTGACGTTGAGAAAGAACGTGTTAATTGTGAATTCAAATTTTCGTGTATAAAACGCGAGTTTCCTTTTCCTTCCTTTCCACTCTCCTTTGCCCTTTTCCATTTTCAGAGTGAAACACTACTGGACGAAAAAAGTGCTGAGAATCCCAAATTTTACTGATAAAGTTTGATAATTACTGATAATGTGCTGTTGTTGCTGATAAATACTGATATTTACTGTTGCCTTTTACTGTTGAGTCTGATAAATACTGATAAATACTGTTGAGGTACTGTCGTTGCTGAGAATTGCTGATAATTACTGTTGAGGTACTGTCGATGCTGAGATTTACTGATAATTACTGTGGTCATTGTTTTTAACCTGGTAATTGGTTTAAAATAAAACAACGGGCTATAAAAACCTTCAATTATTACTTTCTTTTACTTGAATTATCATGGCAAAATTTTCATATTTTTTAGATGTTCTGCTTATGGCAAAATTACATGACTGTATGTATGTATGCTGATCTCAATTTCTACATTACGTTAACTTTGTGACAATAATCAAATGAATTATTAATAGAATGAATATATAGAAATAGAATAAATTAAAAAAATTAACGGCAGAAAAAATATGGAATTTTACTTTTGCATAAGATCTTATTGAAAAATAAACTGTAAATAAAAGAAAATTATGCTATCTTAAAAAAGATCCATCGCCGCCTTTCCCGACTCCAAAAAAATTATGTAGAGAGATCGGTGTTCTTTTTTTTTCAATAATAAGAAAAAAGTTCGTAATGGATGGGAAAAAATCGGGATAAAAAAAGTTTCCTGCAGGTTAGAAAAGTTGGATTTGTTCCGTTTTCACTAGGTAAACTGGTCGAGTTTGGACAACATTTTGTTTTTGAAGGCCTTTTTTCTCGAAAACAGTTATATTTATCTTGTTAAATGTTCAGTTTTCTGGTCTCTTTTTGTCGAAATATTTAAAAAAAATTTGCTCGGAAATTAGAAATTTTATCCCTTTTAAAAAGTAACTAAGAGGTGAAAACAGGTTTGAATATGTTCAATCTGTGGGCACTGATTTTAATTATTTATTTATTTATTTTTTCATTTATTTTAATGTTATGTAGACGTTTGTAGATCGTCCAAGAATTAAACTACTCCACATGTACATATGTACAAGTACACACTGTATGCATGTGCAACCGGCAAATGGGGCGAGCTCATTAAAAATTAGAGGTTAAGAATCCCTAGTACAAAGGTACATGCATTTAGTTTGCCTTAAAATTTAAATATAAAATCATTGTTTATTTAATCAGTTTTGAAATCTCATTGATTTTTTTATTTGATTTTATGGAATGGAGAATAAGAAATGAAATGAGACTTAATGTAATATGTTACTATTAGTATATGATCAAATTAATCGATTTTAATTTTGCATGGTAAAAAGTTGAAAGGAAAACACCTTTAAATTGATTTCAATTGATCAGAAATCGGTGATCGACCTGTGATTTGGCTGTATTGTGTACATGTCTTCAGCCCCGGGGTAGAACGGGGTACAACTTGTATATTCCATGCAAATTGTAGTGGTCAGCGTAACAATGGGCACTAATTACCTATTGTTCTTCGTCTGCGGCTACCGGTGTTATCAATAAACAAACTACTGTACCTGCACTGTACATGTACTCGCTACTTTGGAACAGTCTTAAAGTTAATGGTCGCACGAAAAAAAAATCCGTAATATTGAATTTGATGACGAATAAAATTGATAGAAAAAATATTTAGAATAGAACACTTTGGTACTATAATGAAAAAAAGAAGATATATACATGTACATCATGTACGTTGTACAGACTTATTTTCATTATTATTTCAATTCTCAAAGATCTATCTTCTTCAGTATTTAATTTCATTTTTTAGTTTTATGCATATTTCTTCAATCAATCAATCATTTAAATTTGAATCTTTTTACCATTTTACTTTAGTATACATAGACCACAAAAACATATAAAATGTATGTTATTTTATACATAACAGTAGGTCTAAAAGGCATGCGTGAATAAGAAACTAAATAAAAAAAAATTCGTAGGTTGCTATAAATGCCAAGTAAGGGAATTTAGGCCGGGGAGTATATTTTGTTTATCAGATAAAAGAATATTCCGGGGGAGGTGGTCACATGTATTTCTGCTAACGATTGTTTGGGACCGGTAAATACGTAGACGAGAAATTGACTTCACTTTTTAATAAAAAAAAAGTGTGCAAAATATACAATCATATAGATATAAAGAGAAAGATTGTTTAGTGAAGCACTTTTTTGAATTAATATTAGCATGAATTGTTCCCAATTCAGATGCAGGGAAACTCCACTTCGCTTAATCCGAGAAAAAAAAACCTTAATGTATGGATTTTGAATGTCAGAAACATGCATGACGTTGTGTATCGCACTCATGAATAAATGACAAAATTACTTCAGTTCTGAAATGTGTATGGTTCATTGCAATTGATTCTCTAAAAAAATTTATTCATGCATATAAAAAAATCGATAAGTATATTATCATAACTTGCATGACTTTTAAAACACACAACTAAAGAACAGACCTTGCCCTATCGGCTATCACTTAATTGTAAACAGTATTTCACCCCCTCCTTTTTGTGCTACAATCAAGTAAAATCATATAAATAAGCACCAAGTCTGTACTGTTCGTTTATCCAAAGGTCTCGGAGAAAAATGGAATTAAAAAATAATTATAATCACTGCACAAAATTCTAATTTTACAAAAACGCAAACTGTAACGATATCCCTATGTCAGAAAGTACTAATAATTGACCCGATTCTAAAACGAAAGTAGAACTTTTACACGTGGTTGACATGTATGTTCAATAACAACAAGCACAAAGTTTGCATTAATGGAAAAAGTTTATTCAAGTTATGATTTATTTTATTTAGTTTTTTAATTGACTGACCGCATATAACATGTTTAAGGAGTGGCGCATAATATTAGAAGCCATATGCCCATAGACTTAAAACTGTATACAAATAATTACAATGAAAAAAGAATTAGCCTAAAGAAAGACGTATATTTCATTGACTGAAAATCACACTGCATAAGATTCATGTCATGTAGTGTACAATCCTTAAGCCTTAACAAATAATTTAAAAGAGATGGAGAGAGAGAGAAAGCTAGAAAGCGACACGATATAAAATTCGCAGGGAGAACATCGGAGAACTAGAGCGCGCTGTCTACATAATCTATAAAAAAAATAATTAAAGATGCTTCAATTTAATTATTTAACCCTGTCACATTCTTCTATAAAATAACAAAGTGTACGCTTCAAGACTAGATTTTATGAAAAATATTTAATACTGTCTTGTTAAAATGAGAGCTTGATTTAAAAGTAATTGGAAAAGGGGGGGGGGGTGTTTTCAACTTAATGTGCTCATGCATTTTCAGTTCTCCACACGGTAAAATAAATTGATATTTAAAACCATTGACTGTATTGAAGTATTAAAGAAATCCACAAAAAGCTTTTGATGACAGTACACATACATGTGAGAAAAAATATGAGATGAGATTTTTGGAACAAAAATTTAACTTTTTAAAAAAGTACTTGGGAAGAAAAACCACTGCAAATACAACAGAATAATTTTCCTCAGATAATGTCATCTACATGTAAGGAGAAATTTAAATAAAAAACATAAACATTTATGAAAGCTTATGTTAACATTATGGTCAAAAATTATTATAATGAAATTAATATATGAAAACTGAAAACAAATTAATAAAATGTGACTTTTTTTATTTAGAGTAATTTATTTTGTAATTGACTGTAATGAATTTGTTAAAATACTTTTAAAAAAAACAACAAATAATCATTTCTCAGGCGATTTTAATCCATTCCCAGGTTAGAAACAATGACCACAGTAATTATCAGTAAATCTCAGCATCGACAGTACCTCAACAGTAATTATCAGCAATTCTCAGCAGCGACAGTACCTCAACAGTATTTATCAGACTCCACAGTAAAAGACAACAGTAATTATCAGTATTTATCAGCAACAACTAAAATTATCAGCAACAACAGTAATAATAACAGTAAATATCAGTAATTATCAGCAAGAACAGCACCGTATCAGTAATTATCAGACATTATCAGTAAAATTTGGGATTCTCAGCACTTTTTTCGTCCAGTAGTGAAAGTGTAAACGAATAAGTGTTATGATCGTCGTATCCTATATGAAATGTTTCTTTGGCATTCTGAAATATTTGCTCAAGATACTATCTGCTGAGGGGTATCCTGATAGAACTTACATTATATTGGCTGTTTCCTGTGTAAAATTTAGATCTGCATTTCGCACACAGCTTGAAGATGAATTTACACAATATACAAATACTTTGATTAATAAAATAGCTCGATTCGTGTTATGCAAAAAATGGCCCCGAATATATACCAATTGATTGATTAACACTAGATGTTCCATTTGAAGCATTAAAATAAAATAGAGATTCAGTGCTTTCATTTCCCATCAAAAAATTTCTCCAAAAACTCCAGGTCTTGGAGAACTGATTTATTGAAATTGCAAGGTTCTTGAATTTTAAGGTAAATAGGTATATTTGAGTACTAACATTGAAGATAAATGTCTTAAAACATGTCTTTTAATCCTAAGAAACAGTTTTATCCTTTACTTGTTGCATATTTTAGATAAGAGGTTGCGCCCTATATTAGATTACCGAAAATAGCTTTGAATTGGCCGTTCTTGTAGACTTTTTCAGAATATGAGGAAATTGACCCATTTTGTGACGTCATTATACATTGACTAGTCTGATAATTATGTCATTTTTGATGGATGCGCAATCACCAAAGATCCAAGTGATATTCAATACATTGTTAACTAAATTTAAGCCGTTTCTTTTTTCAGAAATTTGCAGGGCCAAAAAAAAGGCCAAGGTAAGCCATGTTCTTTTGTTGAGTGATTTTTGCTAGATTTATATTATTATCCTAGGAAAATGAATAAATAACCCAACGTTGAAAGAAAAACAATGTGTCAAATTTATATTCTTAAGTAAACCCACCTCTATGAATGTTGCCTGAATTTAACCTATTCACCGGAAAATGAAGTTTTGACATTTTAAAAGACCAAAGATAAAAACATTAAACTACTTACTGCGCTAGGAATAACTGAATATTTAAAAGATTTTTTAATGAATAATTTGATTATGATGCACTTCCGAAAGTGAATAGAAAGTAGTATTCCCAACATTCTGAAGTTTACTTTTTAACAATAAATGTACGTGTAATCATTACAAAATAAATTTGAACTCTAAAATGAAGCTTAAAAGGATATGAAAACTGTTGTTTCTACTGAATTTTTAAACCAATTTCAATGTTTGCAACTCTTTATTAAGGCATCAATTAGTGATCAGCAAATATTTGAACCTCATTTGATGATTAACAAACCAGATGCATGGCTTAAATTTCTTCATAATGTATACAAGGTATGTTCCTTGTTTTTGTTGACATAGAGAATAAAATCATAGATGTAACAAATCACACTTCAACAAATCACTAGAAACTGTCTAATCGTATTAAGAATTAACATATTTGTTGAAATTATCTGGTTTGAAAGAACATTTATTAGTATATTAAACTATGTAACCAGAAACATGACATACCAAAGGTTTGAAGCTCTACATATGTCTTTTATCTTGACTACTGAAATTAAAAATTTGGATGATCATTAGAAAGAAGTTGGTTGAAATTTTGTAAAAATGAAGAAAAAAAATCAATAGGAAAATTTTTATCTGAAACTGTGTCAAGGTCCCTTTAAATGCCACGTGTCAAACAGATGCATCTCTGACCTTTTCAGTATTAACTTCTCTAATTATAAGCTGTTGATATAAATGAAAGCCAATTGAACGATTTCTACATTTATAGAAGGTCCTAGTTTTCGACGCTACATGTCAAACACAATGTTCGGTATAGCTATTCCTCTCATTTTGGTGCTGTTTGACACATGTGATTGCGTGAGTATATTTTATAGTGTATCATATAATCATTTTTATGATACTATATGCATGTATTTCCGTCAATGGTCCTTTAGAGTTGTTTTATAGCAAACAGTTTAGAATAGATTTTTTTTACATATAATACATTTGTAAAAAATTCTTAAAACAATGCAGCATTTATCTATTCGTCACTTTGACTTGTTTTGACAATTTGATTTACTACATTGTTAAATAAGTCATGATAACTTCTAAACACAAGTTTGACCATTTCCGATTTAACTAAATTATTTATCTTCAGTTGGTTTACTTTGTTGTTTTATATGTCACTTCAGTGATTATTCATAAACTGATTCATACAACCGTATAAAGTCAGCATTTCGTAAAAATATATGTACGTTAACTACATTGATTGCAAATATAAATTTTATTTGGTCATACTTTTAGCGGACTTATTTCAGCTTAAAGTTTTGGGTTTTGGCTTAATTTTATCTTGACTAAAGAATATTTCGTCTGCCTTTCCATACAAGAGGCACAGGGCGGGGGTGGCAGGTAGACAGGGGATACTTACTGCTCCTAGGCATCTGCGCCCACATCTGGAAGTTCAAGAGGACCGGTTTTTATGCTCTCTTCACAAAATTGTATTGTTGAAAGATTTTTTTATAGATCTGTCTTTGTTTGTTTTCTTAAAATTAGCTTTAAATTTGTGCTTGGCAGGATTCCCAGACTGTACGTGTTCTTGGAAAACCGAATATTAGACCCCTTTATCTGAATGTGTCCGAATCGAGTGATGCGAAGACGAAAACTGCGTATGGAAGATTCCACTGCCCCCCTGACACACAATTAAGGATTTTTGGAGGGACAATTGTCACATTTGACAAAGGTAGGAGTTTTTATCGTTCTCTGCACGACATTAACAATAATTGTCAACAACATTAATTTTCACTCAGACTATGTCCAACTGACCAATTCAAACAAAGTTTAATTTCTATAGACACTTTAATTTATAATTTTAGATATTGATTTAAATTGCCAATACAGCTTTCTTAATAACAGGTAAACAAGTACAATCTAATGTACTATTGTGGCTTTTCAATATGAATGAATTCGATTTTAATAATTTGTATTATGCATTTCCTTGCATTGTCCTTTTTTGATTTTTTTTATTACAGTATCGAAATCAAACGGTATCAATACCCTATGCGAACTAGTTGTCTATTATGAATCATGGTGGAGTCAACCAATACTTTCCCTTGAATCTGAATCTGTCTCTGAGGACCTCGCTATTCATCTCAACGGAAGCGTAAGCAACGGTGAACAAACTGAGTTTTCCGGAACCGATTGCTTAGTTGGAATAAAGAGGTCATCTGAAAAGCAAAGTACTACATATACCGCTGTTATTCAAAATTGCGACCCAAATCTCCCCATTGAAAGCACTTTTTACATTTGGCTTGAAAAATATAGTGGTACGGTTTTCTACCTTCCTTCAGACCCATACTGCTACGATTCAGATACCACGAATATGAAGAATCTGAAATCACAATGTTCGACATATGTATCCTTCGACCCATTTAACGTTACCTTCCATGAAGATAAAATGGCCGCTGACAATGTTAAGCTGAGAAGTAACAAGTTCCATCTCACGGGTTCTTGCACAGGTACATGCATAACGGTTAGGAATCAATGGTTTTTCTTAATAGTTTAGCTTTCCTGTGTATATTTTCACTGAAATAAAGTGCAAACCTCACAATCTATGAATCGTTATCTTTTAGGGAATTATGAAAAGGGAAATGCTGAATTAAAATCAAATGCAAATATGACTGAACAAACGGAATCTAAACAGTTTTTAAACCATATGTTACATAAATTCAAAATTTACAAAAGGATACTAATTCAAATTGATGACGTATAACTTTGATGACATAGCACCGTTGATGCCTCGAAAGAAAGTAGATCGTGTTTAAAATTTAAAATTTTTGCTATCTCCGTCTTTGAAAACATTGTGTGACAATTTCAATCAAACGAACTTCTGACTGAAAGTAGTCAGAACCATGAGATCGTGAAAATTAACTATTTGGACGGTGGCCTTTTTTTTTTTTTTTTTTTTTTTGCTTTTAATGACATCGTTCTTCTTTACCATTCATTTTATAAGGGCATGGATTTTTACAAATAAAAGTTTTAATAAAATTAAATCTCGAAGCGGGGGATCATGTCAACTCGGAAATGCTATTGATAAAGCGTCTACTCATTGAAAAAGCATAGGTTTATCCAACGACCTGTGTCATCCACATGTATGAGATAAGCACTTATATATACATTTACATTGATAAGAATTTGATAGAATTCGCTAAATCAAATCTACGCTAATTTGTATAAAAATCAATTTTTGCCAGATATCGTACACGCTATGATACAGTTACAGTATTAATAACTTAAAAAATAAACCACGTACTCCATGAATTTTGGCTTAGAAGTTTTTCAGGGTAGCTCTGCTCCTAAATAATTCTTTGTGATAGGATGGGATGTAGGGAACAAATAAAGAGAGGATTTTTAGGGACAGTTCAACATGCAGATTCCATCCCATTATTCCCGGCCGGCATTAACCATATACTGTTTACTGCAATAAACAGTAACATTTCATCATCAGATAAGATAAAATCATAACCCTGAATAAATCTATATACTCTCGCTTGGAATTTTCAAATCAAAAATAGGGTCTCAACTTCCACTTTGGTATCATCAATATGAAGAAGAATCAAAGCACGGCGGCAGAACTTTAGCCGAAGTAGTACGCATACAAAAAATTGCGATTTGGGAGGTATTTTCTCTTTATAAACGTTATGGAATCGGGTGCCATTATATATATCCCAAAAACGGACGATATGCAAATGAGCAGAAATGAACATTATTTCTCCATATGAGAATTACGCTAGATCGATATAAAAGTCTTCGATATAAGCTGACCATTAGAAATTTCGGTGCGACTGGTGTGGTACTGTTTGATAGCTGTGTTCGTGAAAGTCCTTCATCACTTTATCATACAGTTGTTTTTTTCATACCATATGCAATTTTTTTGTTTCTATTGCACTTCTTTTCAACTAAAGACAATTGTTTTAGTGCAAAACTAATACCTTTTTACGCAGGTGAGTTGCTATAATGGTTGTTAGCGTGTCATAAACTTTACACCTGATTTCAATTTGCATATAAAGTCTCAGAAAGCTAGTGTAAAATAAACTATTTTTTAAACTGAATATTTCAGACAATTTTGTTTTTATTCTCTTGCTAAACTCTCAGCGTGTAGAATATATATATATAACTATAAGTTTGACATTAAGCCTTTTTCACACCCGTGGATAGATGTAAAATTTATCTAAGATCGTAATGTACGTCAAATCTACAAAAACATATTTCCCTTCAACTGATATTGCTAGGGATAATGTGTAATAAACAATTATCAGGTCTAGCATTCACCGAATCTTTGGTAAGTTTTTGTATCTATTATCTTCTATCCCTTGTCTAAACCAGTCTTTAACACAAGAAGTTTACTCTGAGTATCATACGCACATACTTCCATGATCCTGAGTGTTTCTCTTCCCGATTCAAGGTTATTGTCAGCAGCTGACGATGTCGCCGAGTCTTTATCAACAGTACTAGAATCAGCAGTGAGAACCTGTGTCATGATCGGCGGCAGTATTGTCATTAACAGTGACCTCGTTGCTGTCGGGAATGAGGCCATAATCGCCACCATCGTTGTACTTTTCCCCCATTCTGAAAAGTTCATCTTGCCGATTACTTAATTATAAGTAATTAAAGTTTTGATTTGACTTACATTGACTTTCCTGGATCGACTTCAAAACGTTCAGCACGTCCGTTTTAGAAATTAATTTCCTACGTGTAACCCTAACCCTTAAAACTACTGTTCCATCCAAACCAACCTGTTACCCATGCGATATTATAAAGTAGTCCCGTGTAACTCGTTGAGACAGCTTTTGGACAAGACTGTAGTTTGACGAATCCAGGGACTGCTCTAGGACTGCTTTAGAAAACAAACATCCATGTAGACTGCTACAGGTATGTGGGGCGACTCTTTTACACATCCATAATAAAGTTCTGAGTCAGATATTAATCCCGCACTTTGTGTATTGCATATGCAGGTTCTCTGTCTAAAGTTTTTTTTATTATTATTATTTTCAGCAGAGATAGATTGATTCATTGTTTATTGTTTAACGTCCCTCTCGAAAATTTTTCACTCATATGGAGACGTCACCGTATGCCGGTGAAGGGCCTCAAATTTTGACCTTTACTTGGCACTCAGGGCCATTGAGCAGTGAGGGATCTTTATCGTGCCAGCGCCTGCCGCTGACACGGGACATCGGTCTCATCCGAAGGAACCGCAACTTTCACTTCAAAGTGCCGAGCGCATGGCAAAGGAACAACTGCTACCCATTTTAACGACTAAGTCAGTCGCTGCCGAGATACGAACTCACGACTTCCCGATCACGGAGAGAGCGCTCTACCGACTGAGCTACCGTGAACGGTTTTTCAGCAGAGAAGTACATGTGTAATTGAAATAAAATGGAAAAAAATTACTGAATTTTAAAATAGTATGGAAAGAGATTTTTCCCCACTTCCATGATTTGCATTGCCTTTACATTGCCGTTAAGTATGCTTCGCGGGTACAAAACATGTTGATGTTAAAAAGGTTAATTTATTTCTGTTAAACCGAATGGGATGAAACTTCACACATCAATAAAATTAGTTAATTTTTTTTTCTAAAAGAACCAATATATTTATGTACATTATTAAACCGGCGAACTCAGTTGTATAAAGAACAGTTAAAGACTTCAAGGGGCTGTAATATTTATACAACTGTAGTCTTCAATACATATTATCAGAAAACCGGAGCAGATTATTTTGTACGAAAGCCCAATGAGCTCATTTTCATAGGTAAAAAAAAATAAAATTTTCGTGTTATAACGCGAAACTATCGCAATATAACGCGTAACTTTCGCGAAAAAAATGCAAAACTTTCGCGATATAACGCGAAACTTTCGCGAATAAACGCGTAATTTCGCGTTATAACTCGAAACATTTGTTGTTTAACCAACCATTTGCTTTAGCCTCAAATTTCTTTTGATTTTGTCATCAAGTTTATTCATTACAATGATAAGCAAAAGGCTATTTTGATCTTGGACTATCACAAGATAAATTTTAAGCTTTCTTGCTTTTGAAACAATCTTTGCCGTCACAACTTGTCTTTCTCAACGTTGTTCAAACAATTCAAAGTTTATGCGAGTTTTCCAAAAGTTAAATTTCAAGATTATTAATTTCGGGAAAATCAACCCTTTTTGGTGTCTTTTTATGCACTCTCTAGAGAATTTGAAATAACTTTACTTTATAGAGATTAAGATCTCAGAAAATTGACAAAATGAGGTAAATTTGTTAATTGTGTCCCACCGGATTTGTGAAAATTTGATTGAAGATTTTCCTTTGTCTCCGTTATTTTCACTGTGGAAATACGATATCCTATTTCGCCATGTTGTCATTCCATTGCTTACGAAAACATTGACAATTCAACGTGTACAAAGTCTGCTGTATACCTACATAGTTTTTATTTATGGCTAGTCCACGAACTTCTCTATTACCCAATATATAAATATTGGAGAAAATCTGGAGACCCCCTCCTCCTCAATAAATTTGTAATTAACAATATTCAATTATAATTGTTATTTAAACAGCATCATATGATCCGTTAAGCTCCTGAAATTATACATTGTTCGTTCACTTGTAAGTTATGTTTCTACAGTATATAATTTTTTTGTCCATAATGATTGATTTCTTTACTAGTGGTACAGTTGTAGTAAATGATACTGATTAAAAAACAGCTTGAAAAAAGTGTCAAGTGAAGATGCTCATTAAAAAATAATGTCTAAAGAATTTAACAATTTAAAAAACATGTACAATAAAGTAAAATTCATTTTATTTTTTTCAATGGTGAGGGTTTTAAAAAATATTTTGATGACTAATCTATCCTATTCTTGCATCACTTCTCCAGTACATCTTCTGAGGAAATGATATTTTATAAATAAGTTCCTGAGGGTTCCCATCTGTGTTCATGTTCTTATTTGTCAGTCAAGATCAATGTTCATGAGTAACATTGCTATATGCATATTATTTCGCGTTATAACGCGAAAGTAACGCCTTTATTCCTGAAAGTTTCGGGTTATAACGCAAAAGTTCCGCGTTTTATCGCGAAAGTTTTGCGTTATATCGCGAAAGTTTCGCGTTTTAACGCGAACGTTTAGCGTTTATTCGCGAACATTTCGCGTTATAACTCGAAAGTTACGAATTTTATCGCGAAAGTTTTGCGTTATATCGCGAAAGTTTCGCGTTATATTGCGAAAGTGACGCGTTATAACACGAAAATTTTTTTTTTTTACTTACGAAAATGAGCTCATTGGTCTTTCGTAATTATGCAAATTTGTTTTTTAACCCAGGAAAAATCCTGAATGTTGATGGAATAAAAAAAATATGTCATAAGAGAGTTATGCATGTGTGTACAAATAGTACAGGCAGTATAAGAATGACAGAGATTATGTCGGATGAGGACAATCTGTGAAGAAACGGTTTATTTATAAAATTATTAAACAAAGTTGGAATGTCAAGGAAGGAAATACATGTAAGCATTTAAGAGTTGCTTATCCCGCGAAAGCAGAGTTAATTAAAATTTGAACAAAAGAAATTATACATCG